GTTTTCATGTGTTCCTGTCCCTCCGTTCGTCCGAGAACGTGTATAGTAGCCGTGACAAGGGCAAACCAGACGCTGTCGAACTACGATTGCTTGTGCGGGCCACACTTTGTGCTCGCCAGATCTAGTTGTTGTGTTCCAACATGAACGAGACAAAACCGCCAAGTTGTCCGGACCACCCGCGGGTTCAGTACGTCTTCAATTCACACAGCCGCCTGATAGTCTGCTCTTTCGAACTTGTCTGCTGTTTGTCGTCTGCTCGTTCAAACAACAGCGGCCCCTTGACCTAACTTTGACCCGGTGATTGCAGTAAGATGTAATTGCAGGCCTGAAAAGACTTAAGTTGGCTCGGTGTTAACAGTAGATACAAGATGTTGATCATAGGTACCAGTGGCCAACACCGACTTGTTACGCTTGGTCTGTTCCCGCTTCCGATTTTCAGTATCGACGTCGATCATCGCCGCTACCTTCTACACGTTTGCCGCACGAGCGACGTTGCGACCGAAAATAGCTAGAATAATCTCATCATGGTTTTGGCGTCCATTCTGCGGCGTTCATGCGAATGAATCGCCGCACGTCAAATTATTTACGCAGTGTTTAGCGGCGTAACGAACCTTGATAATTTTGCTCAGGCGATTAAAGTGGTAAGACATTGCTATGAGGACGTAAAATTGACAATTCCAGCGCGAAAAAGAGTATGCAGACTCACACAGACGCCGACAACGGGACATTCCAATAGTTTGTTGACGCGGGATGCGGTGCTTCTTGCCCGCACTCCATTGCGCATCCGTTTGAACTGTCGTCTGCTTTTTCAAACTTGTCTGCTTTTTGTCGTCAGCTCGTTCAAACGAAAGCGGCCCGTGAACCAAACGTTGACCCGGTAATTGCGATTAGCAGTAAGTGCAGGCCTCAAAACACTTTTGAAGTTTGGTTGGGGTAAGTAGGCTAAGTGTAAACAGTAGATACAAGAAGATGTTGATCATTGTTACCAGTGGCCGTCACCGACTTGTAATGCCCGATTCTACTTGCGGTTTTCAGTATCGACGTCCACCATCTCAGCTACGGTCCGCGCTTTTGCAGTCCGAGTGACTTCGCTTCGCGACTGAAAATAGCGAGATGAATCTCATCGTGGGAGTCAGGCTTTAGCGCCCATTCTGCGGCGTCCACGTGAAATGAATCGCCGCACGTCACATTATTCACGCAAAGTTTTGCGGTGTAACGAGCCTCGTTATTTTTGCTGAAGCCGCTCAAGTAGTCAAACATTGTTAGGAGGATGTAGAATCAACAATTCCAACGCGAAAAAGAGCACGGGGACTCACACCGACGCCGACAACAACGCAATTCAATAGTTTGTTTATGGGCGACGGCGAGCTTCTTGCCCACCGTCCACCGCGCATGCGCGGCGCCGGTAACGTCCGCTAGGGGCGCTCCGGTTTGTTTTCGTACAGTAAGCTAGGCCAAAAAATTCAGCAATTCTTACCGGGATTGTTGTATGCGGATGATATCGTACTAATGGCTAACATCAGGACAGAGTTGCAGGAATTAATGAGCATCTGTGGTAAGGTAGGAGAGGAATTAGGTTTAGAATTCAGTAGTGAAAAATCAGCAGTCATGATTTTTAACGATGATGAAGTTGAGAGGCTAAAGATGCAGAATATTACATAGTACTAGATACTAGTAAATACAAGTATCTAGGAGTATGGATATGTGATGGTGCAGAATATCTTAGTAAGCATGAAAAGTATATAATAGGTAAGGGCAACAGAAATGCAGCTGTAATGAAAAATAGAGCACTTTGAAATTACAACAGGTACGATGTGGTGTGGGAGATTTGGAAAGGGTCATGGTGCCTGGCTTGACTTTCGGAAACGCAGTGCTATGCATGAAATCCGAAGTGCATGCAAGACTAGAAATAAAACAGCGCGGAGTTGGTAGGCTGGCTTTGGGGGCACATTGCAAAACGCCAAACCAGGGAGTACAAGGAGACATGGGATGGGCGTCATTTGAGAGGAGGGAAGCGGTGAGCAAGATAGAATTTGAGGATCGGTTGAGGCAAATGGATGGGGACCAATGAGTACGAAAGATTTTCAGCTATTTATACATGAGGAGTATAGACACAAAGTGGAGACAGCGCACTAGGAAATTAAGAGGAAAGTTTTTGGGCTATAGCGAAGATACGGAAGAGCAAGTCTCAGTTAAGAAGAAAGTTAAGGCCACAGAAAGAGATCGGTGGCTAGAGGGAATGGAGACAAAGACGGCTCTGGAAAGCTATAGATTAAACAAAACAGTTATTGCCAAAGAAAGCATTTATGACAATTCTAGGGGAAGCTCATTGCCGTTTGAGGCGAGGACGGGTGTTCTGCGAACCAGAACATACAGAGTGAAGTACCAGGAAATGGATACAGTGTGCACTGCTTGTGGAGAGGAGGACGAGACGGCTGAGCACTTGATACTCTACTGTAAAGGGCTTCACCCTATGCGTACCGAAGACAACATAGATTTAATAAAGTCATTGGGTTTTAGAGACAGCGAAGGGAGAGTGGATTTCAAGACATTTAGATATTACTAAGCAAAGGTTAAATGAATGGTTGCGGAAAGCGAGAGAAAACTACGTATTTTCTTATTAACTGATGGCAAGGGGGTTTTTATAGCCTCACTTTCTTTGCAGTGCGGAGTGAATATAAATTTCACAGTTAAATATTCTAAGCTTAAATGGTAAAACAAAATGGCTAAGTGGCGTAAGCTACCGCCCGATCCAAAGGGCTCAGCCGGATTCATTCATTCATCCATCTATCCAACATGAGTTGGTGTATATATATATATATATATATATTCTTTTGGAAACGATGTCCGCACATGTTCCACTTTTACATCTCACTGCACACTCACCATTTTCTACAACAAAGTATCCGCTCAAAAAAAAGAAAAGATGCTGTGCTTTTTTTTACTGCAAAAATAAACTATGCGTTACCGAACGCTCACTTAGCACCCCAATTTAGCGCAAGCAGTCTGGACCAAATGACCACGTTTCAGAACTCGTGTTTATTTGATTGAAACGTTAGAAGTGACTTTAGAAAAGTTGTATATGGTGGAAGGCTGCTCACGCGTACATGGAGTATTTTCCCACAGAAATGTTCCGAAAATCATGTACAACTTGCTAATAACATGGCAAGTTCTTAAACATTTACATTTGGTCCGAACTGGTAGCACTACGTTTGAGCGGAGACTAAGCGTTTGGCAATGCGTAGTTTATTGTTGTGGTGAAGAAGCACAGTAAATGTTTTAGGGGACACGCTGTATCATTGGACAGCTTTTGTAAGTTCAGCTCTACAAAGGTGTACCATTTCGTGGAAGTATTTGTATCCTCGTGTTGTGTCACACATACATGCTCATATAGCTGGTGAAGTCCAAGTTTCTCACGGTGTGGAGGCGGCATTCTTTGTGCAAGAAACTGGGGTGGTTGCCTGCAATATGAAAATAAAATATACTTCCAAATTCATAAACATTGTAAGGAATATGAACATTAGCCTCCCGAGGCAGTATTTCGCAAAGTTTCGAGTTCATAGAAGCTGATGCCCAAATGTGATTTATGTTAAGGATTATAAGAATCTTCATTTGTCCTTATCGCTATTTATGTGTAATTAGGAATATCATTGCATCTTTATGTATTTCGTTTTGCAGCAGGACATCGTGTATCCGATTCTTTTAAAGGATGGTCATTTACTATCTTTCTCTTTCTGCACACTTCGTGTATTTTCGCCTTCACATCTGTGATGTGAGCACAGTGTCCTTTTTGCCATACCCCGCGACCCGGTGTTTCACACTGCCAAACAGCGAACAAAACACGTTTCCGCAGGTCGTCTCAACAGCTGGCGTATTTTCGAGTATCGTGCCCCCGTGTCGGTCTCAAGCGGTTCTGTGAACTTCATACAGTCAAGTTTATTGATGATGATTAGAGCCCTGCGCAGATAACAGTTTTATCATCCGCAGAGTTTGTATCGGCATCCCAACCGTGTCCACTACGTTCTTAAATTATTAGGGAGCTTTCGTGGATCGTTTTCGCCGACCCGCAACGCTCTCCACAACCCGCTACGTTACCCGGAACTCTACAGCCAAGGCCATCGGCGCGCAGGCGCAGTAGCGGCTTCTTCGTTGCGGATGGCTTTGCGGAAGGGGAAATGCGGTCTACGAAAACTCCCTATTCGATCCGCATCCGCAGACTTTGTGTCCGCAACCGACCCGCAATCCGCGCATTCATTTTACATCATGATATCAAACATGAATGTATAAAACAATGCATCGGGATGGTATCCTGTAAGCCGTCCCCTCACACCTTACCGTATCCTCACACGTTTCGTGTCAGGATACGATGAAAGTCATTTTATCCTTTCCTCTTCTATCGTGCTTAAATTATAAGCGATTATCCTTCTAGAGGCACTGGGAAGATGATCGCAGTTATCAGATCGACTTGCATTCTGTTCTGTCCAGAAGATGCGCTCAAAAGATAAAAAATTTAAAAAAAAAATAAACATTAAGAAAAGACGCTGCGTCATTTTATTTAGGACAAACAATAAAATTGTGGAAGAGGAAAGTCGGTCACTCACCCCAGCAAAGTACTCGTACATAAGGCGCGAGTACACCACTGGGAAAATACCGCACTGTTCAATAATGTCAGCACCTTGCTTGTTGCTGCGTCCAAGGAGGCGTCCTCCGCCTGTGCCCCGCTTTCGACGTCAGCGGCGTCTCCGGGGGCTGGGGTCTCCCATCTCGTTCGTACACCCGCTTTTCTCATCTAGAGCTGCAGGTGCTTGCGCTGTGCGAGCGTTGGTGTCGGGAACGCTTCCGAAGCGAGCGCTCGTCTGTTTTGGAGTGACTTTGAAGGACAATCCTCGACGCACTACGACAGTCGGGATTTTCCTAGTGCGTCGATGCCGTGAGTCAAAGCGCCGAGTGTCCAGAGTTTCTGGTCCAGTGCTCCAGCGCCGCCGTCTGCTCTCTCGCAGGGCCGCTGCAACCGGGAGAAGCCCCCGTGCAAGTACTTCCACCCTCCGCAGCACCTCAAAGATCAGCTGCTCATCAACGGGCGCAACCACCTGGCGCTGAAGAACGCGCTGCTGCAGCAGATGCCCCTGCAGGCCATGCTTCCCGGCCAGCTGCCCACGGCCGTGGTAAGTCCCTACTGGTACCTGGGACACGCGCAGAGACAGCACCAGCAGCAGCAGCAACAGCAGCAACAGCTTCAGCAGCAACAGCAGCAGAGCTACGCGCTCTTCAACGGCTCCCTCGCCGCCGCCGCCACGGCCAAGGTACGCCCCTTCCTCCCGCCCCTCGCTTGCCCTTCCACACCCTGCCCGGAGGAGAGCGCTTTGTACAGGTCTCGAGGTCCGAACCGTGTCGAGGCTAACCCGGAGGACGTCACCCTCGCACGCGTCAGTCTCCGCAAGTTTCATTTGAGTCCTCATAGGGTTCGTGGGGTGCCCATCTTGGACGTTGGTGGAGCTTTCGCCTACATCAGACACCACAGTTCGTTTGGCTTACGAAGTGTCACCGCTCTAAGTTATAAATAGGGGGTTGTAGTGGACCGTTTCCCGGATGGCGCTCCGTAATCCGCCACAAGACCTTGAACTACGTAGACAAGGCTGGTGGCGCGCAAGCGCAGCTGCGGCGTTTTTTAGAGCGCAGCTCTTAGGGGCCCGTTCCCGGCTTGAGCGGCGTCGGCGTCACCGTCGGCGTAACCGCAACCCTCGTAACCCTCGTGAGGGTTACGAGGGTTAATCTCATGAGGGTTACCCTCACAAGGATCACGAGGGCCACGTGGGTTACTTACCCTCGTAACCCTCACGAGGGTTACGAGGGTTAGTTACCCTCAAAAGGGTTACCTTCCCGAGGGTTACCCTCACGAGGGTTATGAGAGTTACCCTCACGAGGGTCACGAGAGTTACCCTCACGACGGTCACGAGAGTTGCCCTCACAAGGGTTACTAGGGTTACCCTCACGAGGGTCACGATGGTTACCCAGGTCACGTGACCCCCCGGGGTCACGTGATTTGGGGATACCCCCGAGGTCACGTGACCCCCCGTTGACGTCATAGCCACTGATGACGTTATCAGTGACTTCACTGATGACGTCACCGGCATCCGCATCGTCATCATTACTGATGACGTCACCGGCATCCGCATCGTCATCATCATCATCACTGATGGCGTCATCAGTGACGTCACTGATGACGTCATCGGCATCGTCACATGGCCCCAGGTCACGTGACCCTCCGACGTCACGTGACGCCCCAAGGTCACGTGGCTTCCACAAGGTCACGTGACCCCCCGCCCCCCGAGGTCACTTGACCCTTCCCCCCCAGTGCCCTTCCCTCCTCCTCCTCAAGAGCTGCGCTCTAATTCGGCGTTACAGGGAGTTGTAAACGGCTTTCATGTTTTTTTTTTACTGATACTGTAGCGGAGGAGGAAAACGACCTACTACAAATCCCTAATAAATGCTAACCGCGTAGTAGCGGGCTAGCATTTCTTTTTTATAGAGCTCCTCGTGGACGGGAGAGGAAAAAGAAACTAGTTGGCCTCAAATAAACGGCACGTTGCAGTTTGCGGGGACACACACGCGGGGGCCGCGAAATTGAGTTGTCAGCGTCGTTTCCTTCGAGCCACTTTCTCCTCCTGCGCGGACGAACGGAAAGCGGGCGGAAAGAAAGGAAGGCAATCCTAGCGGGGAAAGTGAAGAGGTCCCCGCGGGGTAGGCGCCGGGCAGGCGCCGGGTCCCCGAGGCGTGGTGATTGAGTTGCTGCAGTGCCACGAGGAGACGGTCGATCTCGAATCCCGGCGGATGTCCCAAGCCCGCATTTCGGCTGCCCTCCCCCTGCTTCGATCCCCAGCTTTCCTGCTCGCGACCGCAGCACTGCGCACTCAGGCACTGGTGCGTCGCCCCCGCGGAGGACGGGCCGGTCGTGTCGTGTGTGTGTCGCATCGTGAGCGCGGCGCCTTACAAGCACCTCTGTCCGCATTCAAAGCACTCCCCGCCCCGGGTTGGTATGGGGGTCCGTATCGCATGAGCGGATGACGTTCCAGTGAAGAGGGGTCATTTGAGCAAATTACTAATACGCGTGTTAACCCCTAAACCCCCCCCCCCCCCCCCCCCCCCGCTGCGTTATTGCCGCGCTTCGCGGCAGTAACGCTTTTAATTTCAATTGATTTCTTTGTCGCTTGTTTTAATAACTATTTCTTTTAATTTATTTTTACTCTTTTGTTTTTTTAAGTATTTATTGTTTTAGTTATTCATTAATTAATTTTTTATTTTGTTTATTTTCCATTATTCCCTATTTATTTATTTATTCATTATTTAATTTATTTGCTGTTTTCATATTTATTACTTAGTTTATTTATTTTCGATCTTTATTTGTTTTATTTTTAATTTCACTATTTCCATCAAAACATCCCTTTCTCGCCGGCACATTTGCATTCAAATAAAATAATTTATTCTTCAAGAGCCCCAGTCTAGTAGGTCAGTGCAATAGACAAAATGAAAGACATTCACAAATCTCTGTAATGCTAGATTAGAGTACAGCTCTTGAAGAGAAGGGTAGGGTATGCCCCTCCTCTTCTCCCCTCCTCCTCCTCCCTGCCCTCCCATCCCGCTCCTCCATACCCTCCCCTCGTCCCATAGTTTCCCCGCCAAACTTAGCTTAAAAATTGACGCCACATGACCTCGACACACATTCAGTTTCCCTGCTGAATTTAGCGGTGAAAATGACGTCACATGACTTGGTGTCACGTCGCCTATGAACAAATTCAGTTTCTCCACTAGATCTAGCTTTCCCACTATATCTAGCGGAAAAACTGAATTTGTAACAGCAATTCAATTCCCCCGCTAAATTTACCGGGGAATCGGTATTGAGGTAACGTGACATCAATTTTCTCCCTACATCTAGCGGAGAAATTGAATTTTTTCATAGACGACGTGACACCGAGTCATGTGACGTCATTTTCCCCACTAAATTTAGCGGGGAATTGAATTGGTGTTGAAGTCACGTGACGTCTATTTTCCCGTTAAATTTAGCACGGTTACGCCGACTCCGCAAAACACAGAAACGGACCCACTGCGCTCTAAAGAGTGTACTAGTAGCTCATTGGCTGTAGCATATCCAACTGCCACCTCACTAACGCAGGTTCGAGCCCTCCCTCCCCTCCCCCCCCCCTTCCTCCTCCCCTTCTTATGTTGTTTTTGCGTAGGTGTTTGCAAGTAGCCAGTGGCGTCACAAGGGGGGGGGGGGCGGGGGGGGGGGGGGGGAGGCCGCCCCGGGAGCAGCGCTCAGGGGGGTGTCGCGGCGGGGAGGAGGAGGAGGAGGAGGAGGAGGAGGAGGGAGGGGGGAAGGGGGGTGTCGCGGCGGGCTGCTGCCCCGGGTGCCGCTGACCCTCGTGACTCCACTGGGCGTAACGCTCTCAGCATATTACTCGTTCATGACTATTTTCTCATAGAAAACGAGTCGCGACCATGTAATACTGGCTGAACCATTGACCATAAAAGAGGCGCTGTAATGTCCGATTATGCACGAGTCACGTTCGAATGCGAGCGTCTATCAGCATCTGTCCACGTGTGCTAACAGAACGTCTAAAAGAAATCATGCTGTTTGCAGTTTCAGCGCGAGCTAGCCTCTGCTCCTGGTTTTGAGATGTGCATTTTTAGCGCGAGTGCTCGCTCGTTCTGGGGAAGAATGCTTCGAAGCAGCGGCTCTTGTGCTTGTGGCGCTGGCTGCAGTCTGAATATATGCAGTTACTTATAAGGGAGCGGAGTATAAAATTCCTAAATGACGTATGTTCGAAACGCAGCCTACAAATATTATGTTTGGCTCGCCTGGAGCGCTGCTCAAAACTTGAGAGAGCCACTGACAGAATTTGCAACTCCGAGCAACGGTGGTACCGCGGTGTGAGAAGTGCACTCCCTAGCTCCTGGATGATTGGCTTCACAATAAAAGCGCTTGCCTATGCCTTCCTGATAAAAAAAAAAAAAAAAAGAAGAAAAAAGTAAGGCTTTAATACCGCTCGTATGTAGCAAAACTAGAATTACTTGCGCGTCGCAGATCTAGCCTCGTACTGCTGTTCTACGACGTTTGATAGACACCGTTTCCTGTAGGTCGTGAATATTGCGAATGAAAGCGGCGAATCTTTTGAGTTGCCAACCACGCGTTCCATGTCTTCTGCCGTACTTCAGCTGCGCGCTCGAGATGCACAAAATGCCCAAACGTTGTCCAAGGTAGGAAGCTCCCGCTGGAAATGGGACAACTGAAACTCCTCTCTGCATAACCTAATCTTGCTCTCAATGCGCATTGCAGTTTGCAGAACTGTGGCTGCTCTGATAGTACTGCTCCAGCAACTGTACATCGAATTGCAATGCCTCCCACGTTTTGGTCCTACAAGTATTACGAAAAGCGACAGTCGCTCTTGCAGGAGATTGGGCGGATGCAACGCCATGCGCCGTCTTGTGTCTCCTGGCTTAGCCTCGGCAGTTCTGAGAGGGACGCGTCGTCCGCTGCTGCTTCGGTGTCCTAAAGCAATGTTAAATTAAAAGAAAGAAAAAATGGTACGCAATGATTTCTACGAAGCTTTGCAAGTTGCAACTAAGTGGAAAATAATGCAGTCGAGCCTGGTTATATCACACTCGGGTATTTCGAATTATTGTTTTTATCAAACAGTCCAAACATCTCCTTGAAAATCACATGTAATAGTACAGGATCGTTGTCTTTTTATATCCAACTCCCATGGCGGAAACACGAAGCCCGGCTGCCCGTTGCTTTTTCCGCGATCCGATTGCGCCGGTGGCGAGCACATCGCTTGCGTTGCGTGGCTGGCAGACCGCCGACCCAGCATACGCGCGGGAAAATACGCTGTGAAAGAGTAGTTGTAACAAAAGAGAGACAATAAATCGTTAAAAAAAGAAAAAAAAAAAAGAAGTGGAGGATGGCAAAAGCGAGGGAAAGGGCACGCGCATGCCGTGCGTAGGGAGAGCAGGGATTGTCTGGTGTCGGAACGGTAGGCTGCGCCGTTTCCCCGAACACTGCTGGTTCTGCGCAACTCCCCAGACCCAAAATAAAACAAGCAAAAAAAAAAAAAAAGTGTTCGGCAAGTCGAGTGTGTCGACAACGGTTGTGCAATCGCACTTTAAGCGCCTTAATATTGTTTACCTTTCTTTTTTTTTTTCGTTTTGCTTTGCCCGTTTTTATTTCTTTTGCTTTTTTTTTATTTGCTGCTTGAATTTATTGAGCTTTTTTTCTTTGTTGCTTGCTGAACTTTTTTCTATGGAT